ACAGTTCAGTTTGTACCTTAAATAAATGTCATGCTGTACTCGGGAAACTTCAAAGGGCAGTCAGATTTCAAAGCATCTCTTAAGAAGAAGCAGACTGAGAAAACCACTAAGTTGGGAAGAAAAACTTTGCATTATTGCTAGCATAATTTCATCTGGCACTCTGGTAGCCTCTGCAACAGGACTGAGCACCATGCATCTTTTATTCAGAGGGTGCATGTTGGTGCTGATTTCTTTCCCAAAATGTTCATGCAACCTATATGTTGTTGCATTCCAGAGTGCAAACATCCCTTGTATGTATAATAGCCATTCTTTATGTTGTACATTGTTTAATTTCAGCGTGCATCTAATAAGCCCTGTCCTTCTTGTCACTCAGTGTTCTCTGTAACACAGAGGAAACAGACCATTTCAGTTCATGGCTGTGGGTTTGTTAATCAGAATTGCTCACACCAAGTGTTTCCTAGTTGTTTTGTTTTGTTTTCTTACCATTCAGGGTAACGCATAGCTGATTCTTCCTGCGGCTAAAAGATCCAGGAAGAAAGACCCTGTTTTCACTTCCTTTCAAATAATAGTTACTAAAAGTAAGACTTGTATGCATAAAGCAGTATCTCTGAACATGCAAGCTGCAAGCCACATTCAGGTATTTTCATCTGTCCATTTAAATAAAACAGCCAAAAAAATGTATTCCTTTGGCATCACTGGAGAGAAATGGTCTCACAGGTACCCATTATAGAAGGGCTTGAAAGTGATAGGCCTACATCATACTGAGTCTGAAGAAAGAAGAGATGCCCCCTTCTTACACCTCAGATGAACCCAGGCAAGGTGCTCAGGTAAGAAACAGCACCCTTTCACTGCTCATTTCTTGCCTGTGCTGTTGCTTGATGCAGGTAGCCTGAGCAGTGCAAGGCTCCTGGGTTGGCTGGGCTATGGTTTGACCACACACCAGTTGGTTACAGAGCTTAGCATGGCAGGTAAATTTGCCAATTGTTTTCTGAAGAAAGAAGGTTGTGCTTGTGCAGGAAGAGGTATAGAAACACTCTGGAGAATGTAATCCCATGGCTTTGAAAAGTTCAGTTTTAAGACTCCTGAAATTCCATCCCTCTGAAAGAATACAGTGTTCCACAACAAATAAATGTTCTGTTATTTCTGGGGGAAAGGGAGCGGCTGGTTTCATAATGCTCCTATAGACTTTAAAGTGTCAGGCAGCTTTTCTCTTCTTTACAATATTCCAGATTTGGTTTTCAAGCCAAGGGGTTTGCAAATGCAGATAGCGATGCTCACATCAGAACTGGAGGCTCAAAAGAGGTCTCAGTGCTCTGGGGAGAGACAGTGCAGCTGTGACAAGCTCAGCAGCACTGCCTGCGATAGTCCCATACTCCTTCAGCCAAACTTACCATCCCTTTTGTGGACTTTTTTCCTCTGTTAATTAACTGTCAGTTCTAACTCTACATTATTTTTTCATTTCCACCCTTTTCATCTCGTTCAGCTCAGAACTTGGACCAATGCTCTTGGATCCGGTACCTTTCCTCCAGGAAGTTGCACTGGCCATTTTTCTTTACTTTTTTCACTCTCTTCTTCCTCCCTGCCCTCTCCCAACCCTGCCACACACACACCCCCCCCACCCCCCCCGGAACTGTACATTTCCATAGTGTTGTCTTTCTGTAGGACCCAGTGTTTCCAAACTTGTGGGCTTTCAGTGTTGCCTGTGATTGCACCATGCTCACTAGATAGCATGAACTTGCAGAACTGTCAGCCCTGGTACATGTATACATTGTGTTTATCACCCTGTGGCATCAATTCCCTCATTCATCTTCTTTGGCAGAACAGCTCCATCTTCTGTTTTATTTTGTGCTCTGGAAGCGCAGGCTAGAGAAGTTATGCATAGAAACAGGTCTCTGCTGTCCCAGCTTCACATCTCTTCAGTCTGCCAGTTTTGAATCTGGTAGGTGAGCACTCTGCTCTGGATTGCTGATAATATAGCCTCAAGGCTTGCCTCTCCCATCAAAAGCAGTCCATGGCTCCATAAAGGTAAAACTTTCCAAATTATTTATTTATTTACAGCCAGCAGCATTCACCAGACTGCCTGCAATATCAGTGTCTTCTTTGCCCCACTCTTGATATATAGGAACAGCAGCAGCTGGTTTTCCCCTCAGGTCACTGACTCATCCTTTGCTGTCTGTTATCCTTTAGCTCTTCACAGTTTTCTCTTCCCTGCCTACTAGAGACAGCCCCCTGCATTCTCCAGTCTTTCATTTGTCTTCTGCATCATAGGCTTTACCGTTGCTTCAGAGGGCCACCATTTTATGTAATGTCTAAGATTAACCACAGCTCTATTGGCATCAGGGCCTTTGATATCAAGCTGCCTCTCATAACCAATACTTGCCTTCAGTTCTCCCTCTAGATTCTTGGTGGTGACAGGGGTATAGCTAGGATGCTCTGCTTTCTTTTTCCTATTTTTCTGCCTAGCTAGGTACCATCTTGCAGTTTCCCCTCCTCACCCTGTCATGTTGTGCGTTTCCTCCTCCTCATTCATTTGGGGGATCTGTGTGGTTTTCTGCCTGTCTTGCTCCCCTTTCTCCTGGTGACAGGCTATCACCAGCAGTAGTATTTCTCCTGAGCTGTTCCTGCAGTATCCGCCAGTCCTGGGTGGATTACCGTGTTTCAGTGCAGGGAGGCAGAACAAGAATGAACAGTGAGCCATGGCTCTGCTGCCTCAGGTGCAAGGAATAAACGTCCCTGTCTCCGAGGAGCTCTTGATGCCTGGCATGAGGGGTGTCATTCGTCTTTGACGGTACAATGGGTCTCCTTGCAGTCCAGGCCAATGAGTAGGGTATGTTATGAAACGGATGTGTGTGGCCTAACATATGGGTAACTCTAGCTGGCAAAATAACATTAAAATACTTTCCATTTGGAGATGGAATTTATAGTAGCCAGACAAGCTGTGGAACAAACATCTCTTGTGCTTCTGTGCTTGTGTGAGCCTGAAGGCTAACAAACAGGCAGGGAGCTCTGGCCCTCTCAGTCGGGTAGAATAATAGTTTCCACTAACGATGAAGTTTGAACTGGTGGAATTTTCACAACGCCAGAGGAGCACATCACAAAAATAAACCTTTTTTTCCTCGCACCCCTCCCTGTCTGTTCTTTAACCTGCACAAAGGCTGCAAACTGCTGTGGCAGTAATCACAAAACCATCCCCTCTGAGCGCGAAAACTCTGAAAGATGCCCTTGGAATAGGGGCTGGGCTTTTAAAAATGATTGGCGTGAGTGTCCACGTGTCTGTTCTTATGGACTGGAGTAGCAGAAGGCTTGGCTGACATGGGGGAAAATAGCACAACTGTTTCCAGTTAGTCCAAAAGGTATACAAAAGTGAAAATGAAGATTGAAGAATCTGTGTGTCCTGTTCATAGCAGCCTTGCTTACACGTCTGAAATCACAATGTTGTTTTGGCTGGAAAACATGGGTAGGGATCTGGTTTAGGCAGCTTAGGATTTTCCTGATGTGTTTTCCCATGCCCAGGGGAGGGATTTATGACATCTAATTATACATTTGAAATGATTGCTTTGGGGTAATGACTGACATTATCACTGGCGGCAAATATTTACAATGTAAGCTAAAAACCAGCACGAATATTCAGTCAGAGCGGCTCTGCATTGCTATGATCTATTGTAAGGATCTTGCAACAGTCCCTCATTAGGCTGTTAAATTGAGTCACAGCCCTTTGTTTAGATCAACATCATTCAAACTACTTAAAAATATATACCTTTTTCTTAATTTGGTATCTTACTAAAAATTTAAATCCCATTAAATGTCATGAATTTTAGCTGCAAGCTCAGGAGCATCAAAGGCTTGCTGGCTGTCTCCGCTTCATATTCTGACTTGGTGTAAACCATTCCTTTTTGTGCCAACCTTTTTTTTTTTTTTTTTTTGGATTAATTTGAGATTAACTATCTCAGGCTGTGGCTGCTCCAGCTTTCCTTTAGCTGGACGGACAATATGTATCAAATGTCCCAACTAATGTCATTGGTACTTTCTCCTCTCTAATTCTCTCCATTGAAAGGAGAACGAACAGAAAACTGAATCTGAATCTCTGCTTGCTACTTGTATATTTGTATGACCCATCTCTGGGACAGGGCAGAGAAGTGAAGCTGACTCAATTTTTACTGAGCAAATGGTAACGACAGCTTCATGTCATACTCCCTAGATGATGCAGGAGCCCAATGTATCAAGTGATGTCAACCTTCTCAGATTCTTTCATTATCCCCAGAAATGGCGTCGTATTTCAGGTTTTTTTTTTGTGATATATATCAATATGGAGTATTAAAAGACATTTCAGATCAAGCAATGATAACCCATGTGCAGGAAGCACTCACCAGTTTTGACTCCCATGAAGGCTTTCATTATTATGAGGAAAAATACATGCAATTTTAATCTATAGCGAGAGATTTTAATGAATTTCATGTGGTAAGTGGCCTGCTAAAAACAAACTTTAAACCTCTGTTTAAAAATGAAACAGTTTAAGAACCTTCCCTTGAATCTTACATTCATGCTCAGACTCGTAGAAGAGGGTAAAGTGAGACTGAAAATAATCTGATGCCAAGAAGGTCAGCACTGAAAATAAGGAACTCATTTCAGTGCCTTGTCTTCTGAGCTATATAGATGTTTCTTTATATTGTCATAATACATATTCTTATAAACAAAACAACTTGCTAACTTTCTTTTGTTTCTTTCCTGTGGGTTTTGGTTGTTGCTTTATGTAGAGTACACTAATGGAAAAAATATGTTCAATAAAAAATGTGATAGATATTTCATATAAAAACCATCTGGACTGCCAAATATGTATCTATCTCCCTCGCAGCAAAAGAAAGTTGTTAGTAACTGAGATCCAGACCACAAAGGCAGTAACTCCCAATTAAATCAATGCATCTTAAGTGCCTAAAAAAGATTTTTAGTCTAGCAGCCCTAATCATTATGATTTCTAAATTGATAATAACTCTTTTCAACAGCCATTCAAGAAAAGCACTTTAAGAAGCAAGTTGGCCAAACGATAAAAGAAGACAACGTATCTAACAAGACTGCTGTACAAGAAGGTGGACTTCTACTAGAAGTGAGTGGAAAAACACTGTCTTTTGTGGCTCTAGTTTATTCAGTTTGATGACATATTCAGTTTAATGTTTTGTGGCAACTTTGAACAAATGGTCAGCCTTGGTGTGGGTCATTCAAGAGTCACACGAGTGCTCCCTGGCAGTTGCGATAGTCCTGGTCAGTCCCCATTTGGCAATTGTACCTTGTACCCTTACACCCTTGAAATTACTCGTGAGCTCCAGCAGGCCAGTTTACAGTTCTTTTTCACTTGGGGTGATAGCAGAGGTTTATTTTACTTGACAACGTTTGAGGGCACCAACAGGAGCTTTCCTTGTTTCTGATCTGAGTTGAGCTTATTCTGGGATATTTAAATTAATCCTACTTCCTCAACTCTCTTTTCTGAGGGAAGCTGTGTGTTCAGAACTTATTCCTTCTATGCGTTTTTACCCTGGTTTTCTATTAACATTTTTCTTAGGGATTTCCTATTGGCAGAGCACGATAAAGGGGCCATATTTTTGCTGAGAATTGGATCCATTAATCTGGAGGAAGAATAAATACTGCTGTGAACTACTGAACCAGATAGATCACAGCAGTCTATCCCAGATACATCTGCATTTCAAACACATGATGTAATAATGCCTTTTATACGCTAAGGTCCATCAAAATTGCTTTGTGATTAAGACTACATATGTATAGTTGTTTTGGATAGGATAATATTAGTTGTATAAAAATTGTATTGTAATAACAGCTCTGAGATACATATAAATGTAAATGAAATAGTAGCCTTTAGCAAATAAATGCTGTATACTGTTAAAGAAAAAAGGCAATTCATCGTGGGATCCAGTATCACAAGTTGTTCATAAGTCATACAGAATGGAAGCTGGCACCCTGCTTTCCTTCCTTATATTACTTTAGAAGATTTTGATTTTGTATTTCAAAGCAAGTGACACAGTCATCTGATTAGTTAGTGCTAGTACCAAAAAGAGATATTTGGCTGTCAGGTAACATTTGCAATTATAGAATCATAGAATGATTTGGATTGGAAGAGACCTTAAAGATCATTTTGTTCCACCCCCCCTGCCACAGGCAGGGACACCTTTCGCTAGACCAGGTTGCTCAAAGCCCCATCTAGCCTGGCCTTGAGCACAGGTTATATACGCACCAGCCATAATCAATAATGATCTTCAAACAGTAGCCTGCTGCTACTGGCTTATGGAGAGAACACTGATACATAATTTCAGGTAGATTGCAAGAGACTAATATTACTGAATATGGTAATGATCTGCTTACCACAGCGTATATAGGAGTCACATTCCCTTTGAATCCTGGGCTGCATCAAAAGGAGCGTGACCAGCAGGTCAAAGGAGGTGATCCTGCCCCTTTGCTCTCGTGAGCCCTCACCTGGAGTATTGTGTGCAGTTCTGGTGTCCTCAACATAAAAAGGACATGGAACTGTTGGAACAAGTCCAGAGAAGGGCCATGAGGATGATCAGGGGTCTGGAGCACCTCCCGTATGAAGACAGGCTGAGAAAGTTGGGGCTGTTCAGCCTGGAGAAGAGAAGGCTGCGTGGAGACCTCATAGTAGCCTTCCAGTATCTGAAGGGGGCCTACAGGGATGCTGGGGAGGGACTCTTCATTAGGGACTGTAGTGATAGGACAAGGGGTAACAGGTTAAAACTTAAACAGGGGAAGTTCAGATTGGATATAAGGAAGAAGTTCTTTACTGTGAGGGTGGTGAGGCACTGGAATGGGCCTGCCCATGGAAGCTGTGAATGCTCCATCCCTGGTGGTGTTCAAGGCCAGGTTGGACAGAGCCTTGAGTGGCATGGTTTAGTGTGAGATGTCCCTGCCCATGGCAGGGGGATTGGAACTTGATGATCTTAAGGTCCTTTCCAACCCTAACTATTCTATGATTCTATGAATATATGGGAAATATTTTATCCTGGATTATGCTTAATGTGGATCATTAACGGGATGATTAAGAGCATGTTAATAAAAATGTATTCACCAGGCTTCATTTACGGGCATGTCTGACCTAGAATAAGAGGGTGAGTTTTCCTTAGGGCTTGCTGGGAACATTCCCTGGGGCCTGAATTTGGCGCATATGCTCATTCAGTGGCTAAGGCATGTGAAGAAAAGTGCTTTTTTTCTGTTGTTCCACCAAATTCACCATGCTGGTTATCAGGGACTGTGGGGTTTAACTAAACAGTCACATCTGTGATCCCCTTCAAAGAGAAGCAAACAATTTTGCTGGTGGTTGCTATGCTTTACATATTGACTTGTAAATGTGGCCATTTTTCTGGTTCTCAAAAGACATTTTTCTGCTGTCAAAAGGCACTTTCCTTCTTGTGACATTACCTCGCACTGTGCAACGTCTCCTAGATGCTTTACATAATACAAACCAGAATAATCTGAATCACCAAAATATGTATGAATAATACTGTCCTTGAACACAATGTTAATGGAAAACCAGGCATAATTGCTTTTGCCTTTTGCTTCTTTTTTTGCCTAGTGAGTATGATCACTCTGCTCTATGTATAGGTAGAAATACAGTACAAGAACCCTAATTACTGATAAATAATGTATCTGTGATTCTTGAGTCTTGGAACAATGCAGTACTTCCCCTTTCAGCTTGAAAGAAAACAATGGCATTAGGCTGTCTTCAAAGTATGTTTAAAATGTCTTTTATTTCTAAAGGCCTCTGCCACAACATGTGGTTTTTGTTGAAGATTTTATAGAGGTTTTTTACAGCTATAATCAAATAGCTTTCATCAGCATTAACAGAATAAACAACGATACCAGTTTATCAAAGACTTTTTAGTGGAACACAGCAGGTACCTAAGCAAATAATTTCTTTCAGTTTTCTAAGATCACTTCTTCTGGATAAGAGACTCTTTCCTTGCCATCTTTGTTTCCCTTTGGAGGGAAGACAGTTTGATTTTGTTAACGGTCTTTCTCAGTATACCCCATTCTTGCAGTTTTTGTTCTCCTTGGAGACTTCAGACTCTGTTTGACTGCAGTAATGACTTTTAACTTTGTGCTTTAAAGTATTTTCCAAGACAGGTGGCATTGCAAACATTGCGCCACATGTGTTCGCATTCAGTTTCTGAAGCTTGTTACTAAATACTTAAGGAGCACTGGGCCAAACCCATATCCAGAAAACTGGGAAAATAAATTGTATTGGCAGTCAATAAAGCCAGAGAGAATTTACGGGGTGATGGGGTGGAGAAACACAATAAAACGGTGTCTTGGAAAAATAAGAATGAATCACTGGTGGGTATCTAGGCAATAGCCTTGATTGCAATAATCATCTCATGGCTGTTAGCCACGTCCTACTCTTACCCCCAGCTATGCTGCTCTCATAGTCTCAAGTCCAGACTCAGAGTCTACACTGCTGCGCAGGTAATTCCTCATCCCAAATGCATGTGTAATTTTCATGTGTTATACTATCCTATTGGAAGAATTAAATGTCTGTTTTTGAAAGGAAGACTCTATCTGAACTTGTTTTCTCAATGACACGCAGTCAGGCAGTGGCCCCATCATCACCGCTGACCACTTCTTGTGTAATCATCACCCGTATCCTAAGTGGCACCCTGCCAAAATTGTCACTTGGACTTTATTGACCACCTCACAGTTGCTCCTGCAGGTATTTTTGCTCCTTATGGAGGGCAATCAAATTTCTGTCTCAACCCTTGCTTGCCAAGGAGATGTCTTGATGGGCTTCCTTTCCTTCTTTGTTATGTCTGTTGGTTTTCTGTTCCACTCTTGTAGGTTGCAGCAGAAGATTTACGGTATCTCTGTCTCTGGACATAATTCTTTTCAGGTGTGAAAATAGTGCTTTAAATCCAAAATGTCACAATATTTAAAAGAAAGCCGGATGATCCGTGCAGCTTCCAACAGATGCTAATGGAGTGAGACTGCCTGGTTCTCTCATGCCCCATCTCACTGATGAATACAGATAAAGGCCAGACCTGGCCCGATTTGTCATTTTCGTGCTTACCAGCAGCTCACACTCTTTCAGGAACTGTCCATGTTTTTTTTCAGGATGTTCCAAGGCACTCTTTTGCCCAGTTCACAGACATATTTCCACATGCATCCTCTACTCTTAAGGCTTCGGGGCAGAAGAATCACATTTCTGTGGTTTTGCCTCATGCTTTTCTTTGTGGGCTGCGCTGATGATGCCAGTCATCATACTGCCCTGGTGTTTCTTATTCAGTAACACTGTACATTCTGTTTACTATCTTTATCTATGATCTGGACAAGGACATCGAGTGCACCCTCAGTAAGTTTGCAGATGACAGCAAATTGGGCAGGAGTGTCGATCTGCTTGAGGGTAGGAAGGCTGCACAGAGGCATCTGGACAGGCTTACAACTTGCTTATTTAAACTTTTAGACAAAGACTGTCAGATGCCTGGCATCCTTAAAAAAAATCCTAAAATCAGACACATATGGTCCTTTATTAAAAAAAACCACCCACAAACCAACAAAACCCCAACCAAAACCAAAAAGCCAAACAAAAACCCCCAAAAAACAAACCTCAAACCTTCTTCAAAATCATGTGTGTCTTCAGAAGTGGAGAAAAACACTGAATGCTAGTTTTGGTGGTGCGGCCCTTATAATTCTCCACTTGTATGAATAATCTTAGTTTTATTACATAAACTACTTAATCATCTGAAGTGTTATTTTTCAAACTGAGCCTCCATGTTTTGCAGGCATGCTTTCGTTCTACCACTTAGCAGATGAATTTTGCCAGTTAAGTAACATGACTAGTGAGGTAATTCAGGTATCTAGTTTCTGATCCATCAGTATTTGTGCTTGGAATTGGCTGCTGGTGCAAAACAATAGCATAGTAAGGTATAGCCACTTTATCTCACAAAACAAGCACATTTTCACTCATGCTTTACATATTATTTCTTTACATAGTAATATGCTTTACATATTATTTCTTAATTACGTATGGCAGGTTTGGGCACTATTGTGAACAGGAAATTTTGGTTATTGCTTGGTAGTTCATGCTGAAGT